GCGAGCATGCATCGCTGAAAAGTGGCGGGGGCGTTGCATAGCCCAAACGGGATCCTCAGGTAGGCAACTGTGCCGAAGGGACAGGTGAAAGTGGTCTTTACCTGGTCCTCTGGTGCAATGGGTATCTGGAAGTACCCGGACATCCCATCTAGGAAACAGTAGAACTCGTGCCCCGACAGTCTCTCCAGCATCTGGTCAATGAACGACAGTGGGAAGTGGTCCTTCCGAGTGGCGTCGTTGAGACGCCGGTAGTCAATGCAGACACGGTACCCAGTCACCGTGCGCATCGGGATGAGCTCATTCTTCTCGTTAGGCACCACAGTCATCCCACCCTTTTTGGGTACCACCTGGGTGGGACTGACCCACTCACTGTCGGAAATGGCGAAGATGATCCCCGCGTCCAGCAGCTTCACGATCTCTGCCCGAACCACAGCCTCCAGGTTCGGTGTCAGTCTCCTCTGCGGCTGTCTCACTGGCCTCATCTCATCCTCCATCAGTATCCGGTGGGAGCAGAAGGAGGGGCTGATCCCCCGGATATATGTGATCTTCCACGCTAGAGCACGCTCGTGTCGCTTCAGCAAGGCCACCAGTCTGTCCTTCTGCTCGGGTGTGAGTGACGAGCTGATGATGACTGGAAGCTTATTCCCCTCCCGGAGAAATGCATACTCCAAGTGAGGAGGGAGGGGTTTAAGCTCCAGCTCTGGTGGTTCTTCCAAGGAGGTAGCGATGCGGGCGGAGGATGAGATCGTTTTGAACAGCCTGTCGCCCTCCAAGAACGGGCCACTCTCCAGCGCGGCCAACTACTCCGCCAGCTGCGGCTCCTGCGATGCCTGCTCACCTAGCAAAATACAATGCTCAAGAGCATCGTCAGTACCCGCACTCGTGATAGCGAGTGCGGTCTCAAAATCAGCAATCACATCACAGTAATCTATGTCATCATGCAAATGAGAATGCTTCCCATTCTCAGACACAGAAAAAGTAGCCTGTTCATCACTAGCACGCAGGATTAATTTACCACTATGCACATCAATAAGCGCCTTGGCGGTGGCGAGAAACGGCCTACCCAAAATCAAAGGTACATCCACATCCTCATTTATATCCAGAATAACAAAATCAACAGGATATGTGAATGCACCTACATTAACAAGTAGATCCTCAATGATACCCCTAGGATGCACGATACAACAATCAGCTAACTGAATGCTCATCCTAGTGGCTCTAGGTTCACCTAGGTCTAGCTTCTTAAACAATTTATAGGGCATGACATTTATGCTAGCGCCTAGGTCCGCCAAGGACTTTCTTACATGCATGCTGCCAATAACAAGAGGGACAGTGAAACTCCCTGCGTCTTTGCGCTTCTCGGGCAGCTTGTTCTGCAGGATAGCAGAACACTCCTCGCTCAGCATCACTGTCGAAAGATCCCCAAGTTTCTTCTTGTAGGGGGAGGAGGTCTTTCATGAACTTGGCATACTTGGGCATCTTTGACAGTGCCTCCACGAACGGCATGCTGATGTTGACATGCTTCAACATTGCCATGAACTTGGCAAACTCAGTCTCCAGCATGTCTTTATGTAAGCGGGTGGGGAAAGGAAGCTGGGGTACATGCTCCTTAACCACTGGTTGTGGAGTGGGAGCAGGTGCTTCTTTATCTTCCCCCACCTATGCATTACCAGCTGGAAGTGTTGAAGCAGAAAGTGGCTCGTCTCGCCTGGGCTGGGCAGGAACAGCAGATATGGTCTTGCCACTCCTGGTTGTGATGGCATCCAGCTGCTGGTGAGGCTCACGAGGGTTCGGAACAGTGGTGGCAGGTAGAGTCCCCGGTGCCCTGGTAGTGTTTTGGCGAGCCATGCTTCCCATCTGGTTCTGCAAATCTTGCAAAATGGCACCATGGTTCCTCTGACCTGCCTCCAGTGAGGCTACGCTCTGGTCCAGCCTCGTGACGGCTGCATGGGTGGAAGTCATGAATGTCGCTAGGATGTTTTTCAGCTCCGTCATCTGAGTATCTGGAGCCGGAGCTGCTGCTGGCTCGACAAACTGACGCTGGGGCTGTAGGAATGGTTGCCCCTGCCTAGGCTGGTAGGGCTGCTGCTGTGGGGCTGGCCCCTGTCGAGCCTGGAAAGGCTGCCTCTGCTGAAAACCACCTGCTGGTGCTGGGAAACCAGGTGGCTTGGTGGTGTTGCTATTCCAAGCGAAATTGGGATGCTGGCGCCACCCCTCATTGTATGTATTGTTGTAGGGGTCAAAGCGCCGAGCATTGGCGATGAAGTCCATCTGTTCTTGGGGAGTAGAAGACTCCCTCATAGCCTGGCAGTCTTCCACTAGGTGATTTGAGCTCTCACACCACTGACATTGAGCTACTGGAGGTTTAGCCAAACCTCTGCCCGGAATGAGACTGTTGGGCTGCTTCAATGTCTGCACTAACTCGGCTACCTGCTGCTCAAGCCCGGATCTAGCCTCCATGGCGTGCACACCACGGTCCCGAGAATTTCTGCCTCTGCTGCTCTGCCCCCAGGAATGATCTCTGGCAGCCAAGGTATTGATCATCTGGTTCAGTTCGGGTGGAGTCTTAGTAAGAACATCCCCTCATGGGCATAGAGACTCAATCACCCTCTGGCTGTCCGGAGAGAGAGCACTGTAGAAGTTCCCCCCCCTGTGAATGCATCACTGAAGCCATGATGGGGACACTGCCAGAAATACCCCATGTACCGCTCCCAGGCATCACGAAGTGACTCGTCCGGCTTTTGGCGGAAGTGAGTGATCTCCCGCTGGATCTCTGTAGTCTTCGATGCCGGATAATACCTGTGCACGAACTTATCAGCCAGATCGTCCCAAGAGGTGATGGACAGTGGGGGCTGGGTCTCCAACCACCTCTTAGCATTCCCCGCCCGAGAATGGGGGAAAAGGTGAAGGCGGATTGCGTCATCAGGAACACCGTTTAGCTTGAACCCGTTCTTCAGCTGCAGAAAACGGGAAAGATGCACCATTGCCTCCTCATCCTTCAAGTCATGGAACTGGATAGATGATGTAATGAGTTGAATCCAGCATGGCTTGATCTCGAAGTTGTTCGCTGGAATGGGCGGATAGAGGATGACCGGGCGGATGTCAGCAATCCGTGGAGTGTAGTAGTACTCCAAGGTGGGACCCGGCGGTGGTGGTGGATGCTGATTCACCGGGGGAGCCTGACGAGCATTCCCCGGGGGTGGGTTGTCTTCGCCTTCCATCTCGTACCCTTCTTCAGAATCGCTGCTCACGTGGCCGTCTATGCGCTCTTTCGTAGCCAGTCTAGCTCGCTGTTGTCTCCTAAGTTGGCGGCAGGTGCGTTCAAGCTCTGGATCCAACGGCAGTAAACCTCCTGACTGGCTACAGGTCATGCACTATCTGCACACACTTAAGCAATGCAAACCCGTGAAGGCACAAGTGGGAAAGAACAAACAACCAATGCGAAAATGAAAATGCCAAAGTAACAGAAATCACTTTTCTTCAACAACCTAGCCGTCCCCGGCAACGACGCCAAAAACTTGGCTCACTCCTACTGTCACTCTAGAAAATGGCCAAGTGTAACCACTTCCTAAAGCGTAGTATAGCGGGTTTGGGTTTTAATGTCGACCCGGGTCCTAGATATGATGACTACTCAGTGAATTCGTATTATCTAGCAGTGAAACTTTAGTGCAGGTTCAAGCAAACAAAAACACAAAGCAAGTTAAACGGTTGTTTCAAGTCGAGAAAGGTCACCCGGATATGGTTCCCCCTAGACTGTAGTTAAGCCGGATTGCAATTACCAAGTTCAATTTCTATGATAGTTATACTGTGGAAGGTTCTTAAACAGTCTGAAGTCTCGACTAAAGGTCTCCAGACCCTCTCAATCTGAGTCTCTAGCGGGCGACTAACCTCCACCAGAGTAAACAGATTGAGGCCCTAACGAACAAAACCTCCTCTACCGAAGTAACTTCGGTACAGAATAGTGAATTGGCTCCTCGACTAAAGTCACCAATTCACTACCTTCAATTAAGGGTTCTCTATCAACCTAGGCAGATATTCTCATTCTAGGTTAAAGCAGAAACAACAGGAATTGGATCAGGATTCATGCCATTCAATCATTCAAACCTCAATTGAATATAATCAAATCATAGAATCAGTACTTGGGTTCATACAATCAAACCTAACATACAAATCTAGGGTTTCCCATACCCAGATGAATGGGAGAACTACTCCATGGAGAAAGAAGCAAAAGCAGATTCAGACGCGGAAATCATACTGTGAAGGATGGATTTCTGCTCCTGGACGTTGATCGGCACTCCTCCAAGCTCAAGCCAAGCTCCAATGGTGATGAAGATCAAGCTAGGGCACTTGGGAACTCTTGTTCGTCGCTTTCTCTCTCTAAGAATCGCTCTGTCTCTCTAAAACTCGAATCCCCTTCTCTTTTGGCTGAAATCTGCCTAAAAGGGCATCACTGGGCAAAACACGGTCGAGGGCACGACCGTGCTTTGCTCCAGCTCGCCCGTGCCTTGCCACGTGTTAAAAACACGGGCTGCTACTTTGGGAAAACACTGGCGTGCTTGATGATGGACACGGCCGTGTTTTGGGTCAGTCCCGCCCGTGTTTTGAGCTGGTGTAGGAAAAACGTGGATGAAGCCTCGGCAGTAAAAGCACGGTCCAGGAACACGGCCGTGCTTTGATTTAGGCGCGCCCGTGCTTTGGCTCCAGCTCGACCGAATGACTTCCGAATGCCCCGAAACTCGTGCTTAGCCTTTCTTTCGACGTCCGGAACCTGAAATGTGAAAAGGTAGCACAACCCGGCGTAAAATAGGCCAAAAATACACGACTATGCTCCACAAACGGATTAGAACTAAGGGTGCAAACATGTGCAATTTCATCGTTATCAGGAATTTAGAGTCGTGCTGAAGTATGAACGACTACCGCTGTTCTGCTTCAAATGTGGAAGAATTGGCCATGGGGAAAGGATCTGCTCTTTTCCTCGTCACCAAGGTAATGAAGTGTATGGACCGGAGCTTTCTACCGATCCTCTGGGCTTCAGACTGGATGAAACTACCATGCTTCCGATGAGAGCAGTATGGGTGAATCCGAACCAGCTGGATGAAGTTATGGATGAGGTGGAGCAACTGGATTTGGCTCCTAACAATGAAGTGCACCCTGAGGCAGAGGTAACCTTAATCCTGCAGTGTAGATTTCATAATGGATGCGTTAATTGGATGATTAATTATGAGGATCTAAACTTATTTGCTTACACTGATACCTACTGCTTCCGTGGCTTTACATTGCAATTGGAATATGGTATGGCTAATAATTGCTATAGGGATGGTTTTTGTATTGCACCTTATGTGAGAATGGATAATATGGTGCATGATCTTACTTTGGTTATTGAGTTATTTGAGGAATATGCCTTTACTATAAATACAATTGGTTTCAATCCCTACGTGATTAGGCAGTCTGGGTCCTCTGAATGTTTTGTTTGGCTTCATGGTGTGCTGAATAATGTCTTGAGATTTCATTCCATGTGGTTTAGACAGTTTGTTGTTTTGAACAGATTCTTGATAGAATTTAAACCGGTTACAATAATTAGTATGGATGGTGCGGGTTTCTGGCTTAAAATTTTTTCCCAATGTGTTTTAAATATCTGCTCTCATCCTGCTGAATATTTTGATGGGTTACCTAATATTCTGATTCTATATACTTGGCTGGTGGTTCTTCAGTGTGAAAACAATGATTTAACCAATCTGGAATGGGTAACTTTAGCAGATCGGAAGTTTGTTAACTGGGGTAATAAGCTAAAATGGCTGGTTTTGTTTTCCTGGCGCTGTCCTTTTCAATTTATAGATGCCGGTACTGGGATGGTGGTTTTCTGCATGGATTACGAAACCGTACCGAACATCAAACCGGAATCGTTTTTGGCATGGTAAATCGTGGTACAACCATGGTTCAACCGTTTCCTACCGGTAAATACCGTTTTTGGAATTAAAAAATTATTATTTTGTTAAAAAACCGTACCGACAAAATTATGGTACCATACCGGGAATACCGAAATAAAACCGGATTATACCGCCTAAGAAACTGTAAAAGAGTAAATAAGCTTAGAGAACATTCAACAAAGTGCGAGATTTCAATATCTAATAAACCTCATAATCATCCAAATACATTTTTAGAAACGAGTACAAAACCACATAAGTATATTTGACTAGATATTGAGACACGAAATTATACTATATATTCCTCGAAATATATGGAAGTACATTTGATAGGTGTAAACACATAAGTATATTATACGGTTATACGCTAACCAAATACTTTTAGTACCTAACCACAAAAATAAGCCTATATATTACTCTCGTAAAAAAGAATTTGAAGCAAAGAGGTCCACACACAAACATAGATGGAATACTCGTACAAACCAAAACAGAAAGGAAAAAAACAAGGACGAAGAGCTAGCAATTACATACATACATGTGCAGCCGATTCCTCATTGTTGCTATTGTTGTTGGCGTAAGGAACAGAAGAGAAAGAAAATGGAAAACACCAATTTTGGCCAAAATTAAACAAACGAAAACTAGTTACAGCAGCCACAACATGAAGACCATAGATATGCCGCCCAGCTGCATCAGTTCAAGGGCATTGCTTAACCAGGATTGGGATATACGAATAGTCCATATCTATCGACAGCTATATTTGCTCAACTGCTGTATTTGTTCATGAAAATTAAAACATAATCGCAGCTATTGAAATACCTCTGAATCGCGCGGTTGCTGGAACGAACAACGAACCTCCTCTTTCTCCTCCGGCGCGGCGCGGCTGTGAATGAAGAGAGGAGAGTGGATGCTGGGGACCGGTGGGAGTGTCTGATGCTGGGGACGCCGCTTCGCCGGTGGTGAGAAAATGGAAAGGAGTTTGAGAATTGAGAGGCAGAGCGGCGCGGGGGAGACGAGAGGAGAGTGTAGAGAGGAGCGCTAGCCAGCAGCAGCCGAAGGTAGGGTTTCGTCTCTGATTCTCTTCAATTTTTTTTTACTTGGTCAAAAACGGCGCCGTTTAAGTTAAATTAAAGGGACCGCCGGTTTTAATAAAACCGGCCGAAATTTCGGCCCATTCCGGTCCGACCGTAAATACCGCCCGGCAGGTTCTTGGGTGGTACACAGCCCTATTGTGCCGGGCCAGGTCCGGTTTCCGGTTTTTCCGGTCTGACCGGCCGGTCCGGTACGGTATCCTGGTCCTTGGTTTTCTGTTCTAGTGCAGGGGATGTGGACGGTCTGGAAAGCTTTTGTAACTCAATGCCTAGCCTTGCTAATTTGAATTTCTTGTCTGTTGGTTGTCCCCTGTGCATGCATAATGCCCAGTTTTGCCCTCTTGCTAAGATGAATTACACTACTTCAGGGGTTTTGTGTTGCTGGCTCTTTAATGTCCAGGTGATAGAGTGGCCATATCAATGTGATAAGTTGATCCTGTTGGGAATGGAGGATTATTGGAACACATTAGATGCGAGTAATTCTTGGCTCTCTATTAATAAATGCTTGTTCTTTAATTTTCAGATGGATGGTGGCCTTGGGGCAGACCCAGACTTGTTGGGCGTTGAGGCCATTTTGAACAGGAAAGTGATCTCATCCGCTGCAAGAACTCAGCAATTTATGACAACTGGACTTGGTGGGGAGCAGAGCACGTTAGGTGGCCAGAACCAAGGTTAAAATGGACGTCCTTCTCAAGGTGATAATGCTGGACAGCAAACTAGCCGCTACACAGCGGCCGAAAAAGGGAAGGCGAAAGTGGTAGATGATGGTAAGAAGAGTGCTGGGGCAGTCCGCCCAAGAGCAAGGGGTTCTGGAATTTCTATACAGGAGCCGATGTCCCAGCCTCCCCAACCTGCTAAGGCTGCCCCTGCTGTCCGTGTGATGCGATATCGACTAGCGCAATATTCAATTCTCGTGGTCCCAAAATGAAGGTTCGAATTCAACGATTTAAGGATCAACTGGGAGCATTCTTGATGGATAAAATGGAGAATGCATTAAGGATCCAGCCTACAACATTTCTTGGAGCCCAAAACGTCCATCCTTGCTACCCAAGTCATCCAAATGTGAAAAGGACAAGGAAAGAGATTGCTTAACCACTAAGGAGCGTCCTTAAGCATTAAAAACGTGTTTGGATATTACTTAGCTGCTAAGGAGCTTCCTTTGGTCATAAAAATGAGTTATAGTCCTTATTTAAGTAGTATTATGTTTCCTAGTTAGTTTGGGATTTGTTTTCTGATTTCTTTTAGGTTAGTTTTATGTTTTTGTGACCTCTATAAATAGAGGATGTAAGAGCTACGAATTTTGTACCCAATATTCAAGTTTTAGCAATCAAATACAAGTGTTTACAAGTTCAAGTGAAAGTTTTGCTTATTCGATCCTTTGAGGATTCAGGAGGTTTGAGTGGTCTCTTATCAACTAGAGAACGCGTCTAGTTGTGGCGAGCATCGACGATATCGGTTGGCCTCTTCCACGGGTTCGAGATTGTTTGGAAGGTTTCATATACCTTCTGGCCCTTCTCACGAGTTCGGATTTGTTTGATTGATTCCGCAAGTATCTTTACTTTCGTGCTATTCAAGAAAGGCGAAAACCCAAAAAGAGTTCGACGTTGTGCAATTCTGATTTTTGGTCCAAGTTCGAGGGTCTCTTCGAATTAGGGTCATATCACCGTGACTCGGTTTCCTCGAAAGCTAGACCAGGACGTGCTGGCAAATCACATCCGCTGCGCCCTAAACCTGGTTTCAAGATGGGGATTGGTGAGCTGGAAGAGATGATGTTTGATAGGAAGAGGTCCAACCAGGAGATGATGACAGAACCGGAGCCTCAGTCGCTGCCACCTAAAAAATTATGTTTTGATAATTCTGCTTTGCAGAATGTGGGGCTGGACAATGATGATCTCCTTGGTGAGGAAGAGCAAGAGGCGGACCAGTGTGAAGAAGAGCTAGATGGAGATGGAAATGAAAATGCGGTGGAGGAAGCTAGCCGGGAGTGGCCCCAAGAGGATAAATGAAGTTAATGTTTTGGAATTGTCGCGGCATTGGACCGGTCACGACAATTCGGCAGTTAGAGTCTTTGAAGTTTAGTTATTTGCCAGGTGTTATTTGTCTTTCGGAAACTATGTCGAATGCTGGTGTAGTTGCTCGCCAGATGAGGCGTCTTGGGTTTTCCAATTCTCGTACTTTCTTTGTAGATGTCGTCCAGACTGCCGGCGGCCTAGCTATAGGTTGGTCCATTGAGGTTTCGGTCTCAGTTCTTTGTGGTCGGTCTTTTTTTATCGCTTTTCAATTCAATAAAGATAATTTGGATTATGTGGTGGTGTTTGTCTATTTGAGCTGTGACTATCAGGAAAGAACTCTTCAATTCCAGTACATTCAGAACTACTGCTCTCCTTTGCGTGTACTGTTCGCGATAGTTGGTGATTTTAACTCGATCCTGACATCAAGTGAAAAGGAAGGAGGAAACCCATGGCGCCCTTCTCACTCACTCAATTTTCGTGAATTTGTGGATGATTTGGGACTCCAGGATTTGGGTTTTATCGGTTCTCCCTACACTTCGTCAAATAGGAGAAGTAATCCGCAACGGGTGGTCCAAGAGCGACTGGATCGAGCCTTGGTTTCGAGTGGTTGGTTGGATCAGTTACCTAATTCGGCATTGCATCATCTTTCTGATCAGGAATCGGATCATAGAGCCCTCTTACTAGCCACAGAACAACTCCAACGTCGTGGGAAACAGCTGTTCCGTTTTGATCAACGGTGGGGTAATAATCCTGAAGTGAGGGAGATCGTCCAGGAGGTGTGGAGTCTGACGTTCGATGGTACACCTATGTTCCGGTTATGGTGTAAACTTAAAAAGTTAAGACATATGCTATATGAATGGAACAAATTAGGGAAAACTAATTCCGAGCGAAAGATTCGAATCCTTCAACGTGAGTGGGAGACTGTTCGAGGGGCTTCTGTTGTGGGACCAGACGTAATAGAGGCAGTCGCTCACTTCTTTTCTACGAGCTCTCTCCTTAAGAATTGTAATCATACTTGGCTTGTTCTTATTCCGAAGGTTGACAGAGTAGAACATATGCGGAATCTACGACCTATTAGTCTTTGTCAATTTTCCTACAAAGTCATAGCCAAAATTTTGGCGGAACGGCTGGCCCGCTACTTACCGTCTATTGTGTCCCCGGGGCAGAATGGTTTTGTTCGTGGTAGGCAGATTGTGGATAATGTCTTGATCGGGCACGAGGTTATGCAGTACCTGAAGAATAAGAGGGTAGGTAAACATAAATTCATGGCATTTAAGGTTGATATTGAGAAGGCATATGATCGGGTGGAATGGCCATTTTTATTCGCATTGCTTGAGAAACTTGGTTTCAGTGCACAATGGATCAAATGGCTACGGGCGTGTGTGTCTTCTCCGACGTTTTCTGTTTTGATGAATGGAAATCCTTCAGGGTATTTTAGTGCGACGAGAGGTCTTCGGCAGGGTGATCCCTTATCTCCGCTACTATTTGCTATCTGCACCGAGGGTTTCGCTGCTTTGCTCCAGCAGGCGATCTCAAATCGTGTTTTGACCGCTCTTCGTATTAGCCCCCGGTGCCCTGTTGTCTCGCATTTATTCTTCGCGGATGACTCGTATTTGTTCCTACGAGCTTCACGATCTGAATGTGGACACCTTGTTGGGGTTCTGAAGCAGTATGAGGAGCTCAGTGGGCAAAAAGTCAATATGTCTAAGTCAGCGGTCTGTTTTAGCAGAAATAAGTTAGCAGCTGAGAGAGAAGAGATGGGGCGAATGCTTGGAGTGGGTGCCATTGGTGTTACAGATCAATATTTGGGTTTGCCGTCCCTGGTGGGGCGCTCTAAATATGATACCTTTAGGTATATTGAGGAGCGAGTTATTCAACGCCTCCAGGGGTGGAAGCAGCGATGTTTATCATGGGCTGCTAAGGAAGTCCTTATTAAGTCTGTTGCTAATGCTTTGCCTATCTATGTAATGTCTTGCTTCCTTCTACCTCTGTCACTGTGTCGTTTGCTGGATAGGCAGTTGGCTAGATTTTGGTGGGGAGTGAAACAGGGTGAGCGGCAGATTCATTGGGTTTCTTGGAAATCGTTGTGCTTAAGTAAACATGAAGGAGGTTTGGGTTTTAGGCGATTTGAGGAGTTTAATCAGGCTTTGTTGGCAAAGGTGGCGTGGCGAATTTGGAAAGAGCCTAATTCTCTGTTAGCTCGGGTGTTTAAGGGTAAGTACTTTCCCAACTCCTCTATTCTGGTGGCCAAGGCTGGATCTTTACCTTCTTGGGGCTGGCGGGGGGTGTTGCATGGACGTGATTTGCTGGTCCAAGGTCTGCGATGGCAAGTTGGCTCGGGTGAGTCGATAGATGTGCTAACGGACAATTGGGTGCCAACGTTGCATCCATCTCCCCCGACACCTCGTCCAGGGATCATTCGGGTCGAGGGGTCAGTTGCGTCTTTATTTTGCCCGAATCAAGGGGTTTGGAGGGTGGATTGCCTACGTCAGATCTTTGAGGAGGATACTGTCCGAGCTATTCTGGCTATTCCGTTGCCTATTTATCCGGTGCCTGATCGTATGGTTCGGAATGGGGAGCAATCAGGTCGCTATACGGTCAAGTCAGGCTATCACTTAGCTGTGGAGCTACGGAGATATAAGGAGTTAAGGGTGAAGGCGAAAGTGCAGGTGTGGGATCGTAGTCTATGGAAAAGGGTTTGGGGGGCGCCCATACCTCCCAAGTTGCGATATTTTATATGGCAGATGGTTCGCGGTGTCTTGCCAACTGGTGAGGCCCTGAGTGCTCGGGGGGTAGGGGGGCTGGAGCCATGTCCAGTCTGCGGGGAGGAGGGGGAATCTCTTGAACATCTCTTCTTCCGCTGCCGAGTAGCGGTGGAGTTGTGGGAAGGGCGGAGCTTCTGGCCCTTCGCGATCGCTTCCCCCATTGCAATGTTGGGATCTTTTGGCGCAGGTTACTCGAGTGGCGGGAGCTTGATCAGGGGGACATGATGCATGTTGTAGCCCTTTTCTGGCGCGTTTGGAAGGCCCGTAATTGGGTGGTCTTTGAGTTGACTCAGTACATTGTGTCGGTGTTGTTATCTCAATTTCGTTTGCAGGTTGCAGAGTGGGATGGCATTCTTACCGGCCGAGGTGTTTGTCGTTACTCAGGGGGCTCAGGTGTCAGAGGCCGTCAGGATGTTCCGTTGGGAGAGTTTGTCATGTTCGTGGATGGAGCTACGACGCCTGGTTCACATGGAGTGGGAGGTTGGGCTCTTCAGGATCCCACGGGCATGGTGGTGGCAGCATCGGCATCACTGTATGTGGGGATTTGGGAGCCGGCTCTTGTGGAACTACTGGCCTTCCGGGATGCGCTTCGATGGTGCTTGGCGTTTGGATTCCAGTCGATGATTTTTGCAGGTGACGCCCAAGTGATCGTGGGGAAGATCCGGGATGGTGAGGTAGATGATGTCCATGGAGGGATGCTGTTGGAGGAGATTCGAAGTATGCGTGACTTGTTCCAGGAGTTTCGGGTTATTTTTGTGGGTCGGGAGTCTAATAGGGTTGCCCATTTGGTGGCAAGAAAAGCCCTTTCGTTGTCCCCTTCTTTGGTGGGGTTCAATTTTGTTTCTTGGCTGTTTCCAGCTATGTGACTATTTTGTATCTGGCTGTTTTCTCGGTAATACGAGCGATCTTTTGGCAAAAAAAAA